ACTCCCCCGTTTCACTATTTTTCTTTTTAATGGAAAAAATATACAGTTTATTTTATCATATTATCTAAAATTTTGAATCATTTGAAAAATTACAAAAAATCACTCTCTTCTATTCTTGAATACATCACTTTTACACGATGTATTAGAAAGTTGAGTGATATATACGAAATTGAGACGCGATGTATCTGAAATTGGGATGTGATAATTCACAACGTTTCTGGGATGTATTCGGATTCCACAAAATTTAAGATTTTTTTGTAATTTGAAAAAAAATATGAATAAGATGTAATTAGTTCTTAACACTATAAAAATCTTAAGCATGTTTAAGATAACAAATTTCATTCATACCTAGACAAATGACACTACTTCATCAATTAAAACCGAATGAATGACGAAACTTATTCATTCGGGGGCGGAATGATATTCTGTTTAACCCTCTCAGTAAGAAATTATATGATATATATAAAATAATTTTTTTGACTTATATAAATTTTGAATTTTCTAAAATACTAAATTAGAGGTTAGCTTGATCATTTATATAAGAGGATTCAAAATTCACTTTGAAGTTCACTTTGAATTCCGTTATTTCTCTTATAACGTAGTAAGTACTAATTAGTATATTTGCAATGTAACAAAATTAATTAAATTAAATGGTAATTTTTTTAACAGTAGCACACACTTGGTGGGAGTATAATCATGAAGATTTTGCTGTCATAACTAAATCTTGCTAGTTGTTCTGATGGCTACGTTGCTTAAGAACGAAATTCAACATTCCACGTTTATGTTTTTGGATAATGTGGAAGATACTTATGAATTAATTAATTTAATATTACTTTAGTCACTTTAAGCACTTCATTCTTCTACACTAATTTTAAAATGTTTAAAATATTCTGAGCAAATTACAGAAATCACATACTTTTAAGGCAAAATTACAATCTATCCCTTAAAAGTTTATAATTACAGACATCCCTCAAACGGATACAGTAATATAAGCGCTGATACATTAATCGTTAAGTAAGATACATTACATTTTATACATGATACACTAATCTGATGTACATTTTATACATGATACACTAATTTGATATACATTTTATACATGATAAACTAATCTGATACGCGAGATATAATAATATAAGCGCTGATACATTAATCTGATGTGCGAGATACACTAATCTGATGCGTAAAAATGAGGGATTTTGGAGATTTATAAAACTTATATAGGGGATAATGATAATAAATAAACTAAAATGTGAGATTTCTGTAATTTTTCCAAATTCTTTCTCCTGCAATAATAATAATAATAATAATATTATGTACTCCACCAATCCCAATTAGATGTCTGATTTAAATTAGTATCAATCACTATTAAGATAAAGATCAATTCAAGTTTTATTAATTATTTTATCTATTCCGTATCTTTTGTCACTTTCCGTTTATAAATATCTGAAAACATTGTCACGTTCCTAAAAATGGTCACTTTTTAATGGGTTTATTAACTTTTAACTTATCCATTACGAGTTTATTTAAGGGACATGAATAACTTACTTTTGGACTTTTGGGATTACTTGTAGTGTAATAGGTGGAAAAAGGATAGAAATGTAACACAAAAAAGGTTCTTTACTTTTAAAAATTGTTTCGAAAAATTAATGTGACAACTAATATAAAACAGAAGGGGTATATAAATGGAATAAGATTCAAACACAGGAGATACAAGTGTTGAAATTTTTTCACATTTAAGGAACAAATATTGAAAGTTTAAAAGATTGGAAAACTATATATAAGGTTTAGAGATCCTAAGACCTTTGAATTATTTTTGTACATCCTTAATCCAAAATGGATACGTAATATATATCACACTAGTTATAAGTATATTTGAGATGACTTGGCTTAATATTTAAAAATATAGATCCGTCTCTTCTCCATTTTCCGTTTCTCCAATTTCTCCAAAGCGTAAAGAAAGAACTTCATGTGTTAACATAAGACTCTTATAAACAAATGTACAATAAGACATCTAATTAGGTCCAGAAAAAATAATTCCTCTTCTCATTAACTATATTTTTTGTGTTTATTCATTTGATATTGAAGTTGATTGACCGACCTAATTTCTATTCCTCCTTAATAGTCCGAATGAAGCAGGATTTTCTAGTCTCAAGATTCAAACGCAAGACATCTAATTAAACAGGAAAGAATCTCGATAATAAAATTTCATTAATTGAAAATAATAATAAATTATATATTGAAAAATGAACTTGAGGATAAGATAGAGCCGGAACTAGTCCATGAATTCAGCAGAACATAATAACTTTAATGTAAATTTTATATTTATATTAAAAATGCACTTAATAAGTAAAATTTAAACTCATAAATTCAAAATCTTAACTTCGTTCAGACTAGAAAAGGGAATATATACACCTTATGTATTGTGTGGGGTGGAGGGTCGGATGAGGTGACCCACAATTGTGATATAGTACATTCACTTTTTTCCTGAAATTTGTAATTACATTTTTGGTGCTTTGTGTACGTCCACTTTAACCCATGCAAGTAGGTAATGCCTTTGTCTCTCCCACTAGCAAACCATCCATGTGGTTTTGTGTATATATATGTCATACAATTACTACTAGTCTTCTACTACTATATATCACTCACACACATATAAATAATATATACATACATATACATGTGTGCCCCCCTAATCCCCCACCCCCCAAATATTTGTTGTCAAAATCTATCGGTTTCAAAAGTCGTTTTCTCTTTGTTGTTTTCTCATTCATTCATTTTCTCCTCCATAACGTCTTGTAAAAAAAGTTTTAAGTCCTTTTTTTAGGGCTTCCCAATTATTGTCTTCAAATTTGTTCATATACCTAATTCCTTACCTTCACAGTCTGATCATTTCAAGCTTTCGAACAGAAAAAACGATTAGTACATCTATCTCTCTCTCTTTATACGAATTCATTGAATACTGAAACTCACAAAGGTACTATTTCATCATTCATTCATTCTTGGCTTTTTTCGTGCTTTATAGAAATTATTGTTGAAAAGATTTCATCTCAGTTCTTTAATTTTGATTGTATTCTTGTGCATCATATTGATCGATTGATTACTAGCTACGTACAAAACATATATTTTTGTGAAATTAATATGTAGCTAGTTACCATTTTTTCTGTTCAATTCCAATTTATAAATCTTTTAGTTACTTACCAGAAAGGGAATTTTTTTTTAGTGAAGAATAAAGGAAATTGCATTTTCTTAGCTACTCTATGCTTTTGACATTCTTTTGGTTAGGTCAAATAAAGATTTATAGGGACCATATACTATAATTTTTGTAGGTAATGATTCTAACATTACTACTACTGGAGTATATCTTTTCTAAAAGTCATGACTGTATAATTAATGGATCTATGTGTCACATATATATGTTCTTTAATTGACCTCAACTCCGGTTTACTCGTTTCTGATGAGAGGCCAATTCAATATTTAAACTCTGTCTTCAATTTTTAAGATTTTTAGGATTAAACTCATTGTATTTTTAAATGATCCAGGCATACGTCTCTCTGTAAGATATAGTGATTATCAGAACATTTTTACTCAGAAAATCTTTGGTGATTTATTGTTAGACTTATACAACTTAAGGAATGTTATTTTTCCATTTTTCTCGTTTGATATTTTAGAGAACTATATATATGATTCTCATACATCTGCTCTAATGATATCACTGAAACTATTATCAAAAGGAAACTAAATCCATAGAGTTAAAAGTCAAAATTTAGTGGTATTCTTTAAAATATTTTATACTTTGGCCAATTTCATGCACTCAACAAGCTTAAGGTAAATTCCATTTTCTAGTTTGGTTAAAAAAAATTGGTTAACTAAGGCAAGCACAGTCTAGAATTCCAATTGCATTATTTGTCTGTTCTATCATAGCTTCTCTATCCCATTTGATTTGACGCTATCGTTTGGTTGGAAATTAGTTATCCCTGGATAATATGTTTTCCTGCTTACAAGTTATCCACCAGGTATATGAGATAACTTATAGTATGATCCCATCACTATAGTATAAATGGTGGGATAAAATAATCAACAGACTACCTAATATCTTCAACCAAATGCATGATAAAATAGTTCTACATATTGTCCCTGAGATTATTATACTTTATACTTCATACTAAACGACTTTTCAAGGTAATAGTTTGACTAGTACGGTATAAATTCTAAGTAATGAAAGAACTAGTTTGAAGTAAAACAATATCATGCCAAAACATAAATATGATTAGTTAGATAGATTTGAATTCTGAAACATGCATATATAGTACTATTATAAGTAGTATTAATTAGGAATTTGAGTATCTAAAATGAAAAGAATGTCATAATTGGTACAGTTCATTTTCTTTGTTTCATATGACAAAAAAAGAAAAAAGAAAAAATATGTAGCTGCATTTCATTTTGACCTACGAAACTCTACATTCATCATCAGTTGGTACTGAAGATATAGCTAGAGCCTAGAGTAGATGATATATAGGACCAAAATGAAATGTCACTAGCTAGATTTTTCTTTTTTGGGTATCCTCTTTAACCTTCTTTCTGGTAAGATACAAAAGAATAATGCAATGATCTATACATATGTAGTAATTATTTGTTGGATTAAAGTTATAATTCAAATTCTTCAAAAGTTGAACTTACCTTTTTCCTTTTTTTTTTCCCCATATAATAACAATCTGGTATCTTAACCTAACTAGCTTGACTAATCCAAATTCGCACCATATATTCCTTATCAGAGATTTTTTTTTTCATTATCAAAATCCAAATGAAATTAAAAACATCTAACTAAGAATGAAGGAATTATCCATCCCAAGACACTCCTTGTTCGTTACCCTAATTCTTCTATATAATATTACAATACCAATGTTGATATATATTCAATTTATTTGAGGATTTAATTAAGTTGCTTTGTTTTTTGTTTTCAGAGAAGCATCACTTGGAGAGAGAGAGGGGGCTTAATAATGGAAGATGACCAAAAGGAGCTACATTTTCTGTCTACTGACCAAAATGCAGCAAATTCGTCTTCGTGGCCATCAGATTCGTCGGGTAACATGGAATCAATTGAACCTCCTTCGTTAGACCTACAACTGTCAATCAGCGTACGACGACCAATAAAACCACCATCACATCATAATCAAGGTATCTTAATTCGACCTGCAATTAACCACGATCACAATCACTACAGTACCGATGTGCGGTTCGACTCGGGCTACGTTGAAGCGCTTAAATGGCAAGCCGCGGAGCAAATCCGGCTAGCAGCCATTGAAAAAGCGTACGCCGAACGTGTTAGGGAGCTTACAAGAAGAGAAATAGAGATGGCTCAGTCGGAATTCGCACGTGCGAGGAGTATGTGGGAAAGGGCAAAAGAGGAAGTTGAAAGAGCAGAAAAGTTGAAAGAAAGAGCAACTCGTAGGATTGATCCTACGTGCATGGAAGTTACTTGCCAGTCTTGCAGTCAAAAATTTCGACCTCATTAAATCATTATTAATATTATTATTGAGGGGGAAAATAAAAATAAGATGTTAATTAATATTATGTATTCTTTTCTTTTGCTGGGAAAAAACTTGAAAGTCGATTATTAATTAATAATTTGATGTATGATTTATAATTCTTTTGTTTTCTCTTCTTCCATATGACTAATTGATATTATTAAGCTATGCAGTGACGTATAATTATATCATGGTTAATCTAGCAGAATTTGATATATATATGATTCTTCCTTTTATTGAGGTAATGTAATCTTCATAATATTGGAAACATGAATAAGTTATTTCAGAATCGAAAAAAAGAATGGCAAGCTTACTGAGTATGTATCACATACCTTTCCAAAGATTCATTCTGATTGGTTTTTGCCTTAGTTTCATCCTTTCTAAAGATACCAATTACCAAAATGGAATTAATTGTTCTTTTACGGAAGTTGGGATCCCACACGCTGGATTAATCACTAAGGTCTTATACAATTTGATGTTGAATGATTTCGACCGGGGATTTAAACAGCTGCGATTTTTCACACAACTTGCTCACAGTGTTGTATTTATGCCCTCTGAATGATTAGAATAAGATAAAATATGAAGATAAGTTTTTTACTCAAATGAATCAAAAAATAATGCCATTTGTTCTTTTGAGTTGTTAAATGAACAATAAATTAATCTCATGTATGTTAACTAAAATACCGAAAAATGTTGGAGAAGTATGAAGAAGAACACCAAACTAATTAAATGCTTTAAATATGTACAAAACGTTCTCCTAAAAGCGATATTTGCTCCTTTTCTGCCTTGAAACTGATATGAGATTGTGTGTACATAGTTTTATTTGTTAAAAACAAGAAGATTTCTGATTTTCAAATACAGTATTTGGCAACATTGGGGAGAAGACAAGACTAAAAAGATATATTTACACAACTTCTCAATCACAACATTTGATTTTTTATTTTATTTTACAACATTAATAAACAGGTAGCAATTATATTTTAGTTAATATTGTAAGTTATATATATATATGCCATTGTTAGCACCGTCCTTTGATTCAATAAAGCGATTTTTTTTGTTTTTTTGATCTATGTTATATAGTTTGATAGTTTCACATCCTATAAAAATATGCGTATATATATCTTCTTAGATTTAACTTATGAAATTGCAAATAACATAATTTTATGTTATTGTAGTTGGACTTTGAAGGTACATTTTTTTACTTTTATATATTTTGTAGATCTAGTTATTATGATAGGTAGTGATGCAATCCTCCTAGGAGTCTCTGTTAATAAGGAGATTTGCCTGAGTGTCATGTATCATCATAAAATTGAATGAATAGATGGTCCTATTTCACTTTTCAGCAATCAATAGTATTTTATTTTTTATGTTATTAATTAAGATCGATGGTCATGATTATAACACTGGCTTACTCATCAGTACTTTACAAACTACGTACAAATAATTTGGCTTTATATATATCCATGAAAAGAAAGAAAAAAGATTCACCTTCATTTATAAATGTTTCAATTATTTAAGTTTCACCTAAATTAAATACACCTTCGGCATCAGATATTCCAAATATCACTTGGAGCTAACTTAAATGTTTACACCAATTCAATAAAATATACATGATATATTTCAGATATATAGACCTAATTTTTTTCCGAATAGTCATCAATATATAAAAGTGACAAAATAGAGTGCACCACCCAAAGTTGTTGTCTTCATTGGACCGCATAAATCAGAGTGTACCAACTCAAGCAACTCTATCTTTTAGGAGGATTACACTTAAAAGGACAATCTAACAAAATTAAGTTTTGACTTAATCATAATAAAGCAGTATGATTTAGTTTAAACACCTAGTACGGAGAATTAGACTTGATATTTTTGATATATGCCCCTTAATTGAATGAATGAATGACAAGAGATTCTTGTTTTACAAATGATGCTTTCTGGATAAGCCAAGATTTATAGACAACATTTTCTGGTCATTGATGCTTTTTACTCTCCATACATATATTTGCATTCATTCAAACTTATATTTGTCTTTTTCCTTTCAAAGCCTGGAATACCATGATTTCTGACATTGACTGCCTCCCTTCTTCTGATTATTTATTTATTTCTTGACTGGTCAAATAACATAACACCACAAGACAAATATATAACATCAAAACTTGCCTACACCTTTTCTGTTCAGCCAAAATCCACAGGTTTAAAAAAAATAATCACAAACAACTCAAAATATGCTGTTACTACTACTTTTGGAGGGCTGAAATAGTGCAACATGTGAATAATTAAAAACTAACAAATAAAAAATGAAAAAAAGATATTATTTAAGTGGGGGCATTCCGAGAATCGAACTCGGGACCTCTCGCACCCAAAGCGAGAATCATACCACTAGACCAAATGCCCTGCCGTGTAAATACATTTCGGGTTATAAGTATATATAATATTTACTTTTACTAAAAATCCTTTTAAATTCTTAAACATATATGTAATCTAATAAGTGGGTAAGAAAGAAGGTGGTGCGTATACCTTTGTGAAGGTAGAAAGACTGTTTCCGATAGACCTTCAACTCAATTAAAGCATAGCAAAACTCAAATATGTAAAGCAAATACAATAGCAGAAATTCATATCGTAAAACAATGAAGAGAACAATAGCAACAAAAAATAGGAAGCAAAGAAACCACAAGTAATACCACAATCAAAGAATGAGATAGCTTATAAAAGTAACAATAACAATTTTCTACCTACTAATTTTGTACCCTAATTCCCCGTCCTCCTTATCTTCCTATAATATAAAGTCAGTCTTGTCATTAGTAACTATACATGTGTGGAATGTCACGTCACATCTAATCACCTCGATAAGTGAAGGAGAATATAACCATTGAAAATAAAGAAGAATTTTAGAAGGCAATTAATGGTTTCATATATGACCCATTTATGTAGATCTTCAGTATCATAGTAGTTCATCCATTTATGTAGGATTGCAAGGAGGAAACGCAACAAAAGAGGTAACAACAAAGTCGTTAAATATGACATATATAGTAGACCATCACTATTTTAAATAGCACCATTACAACTCACATAACAATAAATATAAAAAAAGGCAGTCCAATGCACTAAGCTCTTGCTATGACCAAGCTTCGCAGAAGGATCAGACAACAAGTGTTTTTGTATGCAAAAAACAAGTACTTCATAAAGAAATTATCAGAAAAAGACAACCACCAACCCCTCTGCTTTCTACGGATACACATCCGTTTCTTGATAACAAACATTACATCAATCTCATGAACTTCACAAATTGAATTTACACAGCATCCCCATCAAGGAAATGGGGAAAGAGAAAACAGAGTGCGGAATGAAGAGAATAATAATATCTTAAAACTTTCATTGTCTTGAATCTAGAAAATAACACAATCTACAATAGAAGGATTAACGCGTAACAGAACCTATTCAGAGCAATCCTCGAGTATGAACTGACTCTTAGGCAGTTCAATAATACAATTTCTGAAGGTTTACATCTATAACCATATTTGTCGAGGCACCTGCTTACATAGCATGGGTGACAGTTCTGAGAGACTAGATAAATCGAAACTACATGAAAAAGGGAAGTTTTTAGCTAGCTGGTTCATATCTACATACACAGTCATAAATATTCCCTTTAACCAGTTTTGCTGCCAACCGCTGATTCTTCACCATAGCAAGCTGCAAAAATCACATAAACCATGTCAAAGAAGACTGAGGCACAAAGAGAGCACATTATACTTGACATTTCTCAACATTCCGCGTAAGAACCAAATTAGCTGGTTCAATAAGCAGCTAATATAATAGGGCATCATGCGTAAATAAAATATGGAAGAAACTTAGTCTAACTTAATTTTTCATGGAAGGTACTTATGGAGCTCCATTTGATATTCATTAGAGCCATATAAAAATATGGCAGAAACCGTCTTTAAAATGTTTCAAGTGACTGCTATAATCCTTACCTTTAGAGCATCACATTTGAACTTTGCATTATAATTGGTATGCAAAGACCGGCCCATCCCTTCCAAAATTACCTGTACCCAGGGAAAAAACATCCTCAGTAAGTTGCACTTATTTTCTCAATGAGATAGTCACATCTTTTAGTGTATTAAAGAAAGGAGCATCATACCAGATCTGCATCTTTGGCTGCAGCTGCTAACTCTGAGCTCACTTGCCTCAAGTCTATACATGGACTGCCACATCCATTCTCCACAACCATCAGAGGAACGGAAGGTGTATTTTCCTTGTAACCATCTTGGATATTACTCATAGCATCAACAAGCAAGCCTCCTGCTTCAGCTGCTCCTCGAAGAATATCACAGTGCTGCAAGCCAAAGCAATATTACCGAGCTAATGAGATATTATGTAGAGTGGATGAGAGAGAGAGAGCTCTAAAATATCATACAAATAGGCCTTATTCGTGCATAGACTTATTCCTGTTTAGAGTTCAAGGTAAAAAACATTATTACTCTATTTAGAGGAGTTATACATCCAACGGCGGATCTATGATTTTAAGTTTATGGGTTCCTACAACGACTTCAAGTTAATATATACAATATATGGGTTAGCAGTCAAATATTTATAGATATTTAAGAAATTTCCAAACATATATACAGAGTCTGAGCAAAAATTACTGGGTTCACATGAGCCTGTAACTGATGCTATAGACCCGCCCCCGTATACATCTCATTATTTATAACTAATAGAAAGTCCTTGAAAATCAACATACCTTTGCAGCCTCAGCAACAATATCAGGCAACTCCATTGCAGTAACATCATTTAGTGCAGGAAGCGAGTTCGCTACCAGTACAACCTGCATAAAATTTTGAATGGTTGATCTTTGGAACCTAAAACGTTCAGCATATATGGAAGGAGACAGGGAAGGATCATACTGATAGACTTTACTGCTTTAATAGAAAACAAAGGAACAAATACTGCTGTTTCACACTAGATACACTGATATTACAACAAGAAGTCTGAAAACAAAAC